TGGAACTAGAGTTATAGACAGTTGTTAGAAGCCATGTGGGTGTTCGGAGCCAAGCCCTGGTCCTCTACAAGAGAAGCCAGTGCGCTTAACCACTGAGCCATCTCTCCAGCCCCAAGAAACAGTTCTTTTATGTGAATTTAAGCAAACAACAACTTATATGATTAGCAATTACAAATTAGATCCAAAGCCAGGTGTGGTGGTGCAGCCTTCAGTCCCAGCACTCAGAGGCAGAAGCAAGCAGATCTTCTGAGTTCAAGGCCAGCCTGGTCTACATAGTGAGTTCCAGGTCAGCTGGGGCTACAAAAAACCTGTCTCAAAAACACCAAAAAAAAAAAAAAAATTAGAGCCAAAATACTTCTTGGACTGCAGAAATTGTACAAAATTCAAGTATGGAAGGAAATTGTAAAGACCAAAGAAGGAAAGGAAACAGGTGCCACACCTGAACAAAAACATACATTGATGGCATACCCCAAAAATATTCTTTAAGCAGCAATCATCACTAACCCTGATGATCTCACAGTTTTCATTGCTAAGTGACAATTCCATCCATTAATAAGTGTGTTCCAGTCAACATCAGTAGTGAAAAATTCTGAATTTCAGAGTCAACCTGGGCTGTAGTCAGTTCAAGGCCAGCCTGAGCTATGCAGGAAGATCTTGTCTCCAAAAAAAGACTTTATTTGGAGAGAGGTCAGTAAACAATGTGCTGCAAAAGCCATGTTTAATCCTAAACAACAGCTTAACAGTCAGTAAACAATGTGCTGCAAAAGGCCTGTGTTTAATCCTTAGCATAGTAAAAAGATTTTTTTTTAATCTTAACAAAGGTTTCTTTGGAAAAACCCTAAAGATCTATTAACATTTAATCGGTTACTTCACTAAGGATTTCTCATATGCAAAAGTTTGCAAGTGGATGTGTAAAACTGTATCTGTAGATGTTCATTTCAAATCAGACAGCACCAAAATGATAAATGAATCTAAGCAAATATTCAGTGGGGCCAGTGAAGCCGGTTCAGTGAGTGAGAGCACTTTTCACCAAGTCTGATGACGTGAGTGCAATCCCCAGGAAGCCACACAGTGGAAGGACAGAACAGACTCCCATAGGTTGTTCTGACCTCCATGTACTGGGGGGCCACTACAGCAGGGCCCTGCTGTGCTGTGTCCCCTGCTGTCTCTAGAACTTACTGCAAAAGGCTGGAACAAAAGAAGAGGCACAGTTGGGAGGCTTTAGGGGAACCCTAAACACAAGAAGTGGCAGTGATTTTAGTCATGGAGGGAGCAGAGAAAACTATTCAAATTGGATTTGGGAATATTTTGTTGATGTGTTGGACACCAAATACAGAGAAGAGAGTCAAAGAAGGACATTTCAAGGATAAAAGTTAAGCTGCACAATATAATTTCCTGCCCTTTTCCCTCCAGCATTATAACCATTACAGATGGTGGGCAGGCTGGCTGGCTGCCTGTTGCGTCTTACTGCCACACTGTCCTTCCCAGTGTCCTACACTGCCAAAGAGAGACTAGAAGCTTCTAAAGCACACTTCCTAGTCTTTAGGCCCCTTCAGGCTGACATGTTAGATTCTCCTTCTGAAGGCTGTTGCCAAATTAAGCAGCAGAGAAAAGGGGAAGCCACTTTTTCCTGCTTTTATTCTAACCCAGCCTCTGTGAACAGCTGTGAGCTGCTCCAAGTTACAGCAGTACAGGTGGCAGAGCAGTGGGGTGGCTGGAACCATGGTGTCTGGGCTTGTGCAGCAACAAGAAGGCAAGCTCCTGGCTTCCAAGCGATATCCTCACAGTACATTCCAGTGCTCTAGGTGACACAACTTTTCTGCTTCTGTCTTCCAGCCTTAGCACATCAGCTACTTAGCAATCACCTTAGCCTTTTCTATTTCTCTAGCTTGATGAACTGAACTCCATTCCTAGGATCCACAGGGTGGAAGAAGAGAAACGACTCCCAAAAGCTGTCCTCTGACTTCTCAAATGTTGTGGCACACATGTGCTTCCCACATACATACATACATGTTGAAAAAAAGACCAGCTAGATTGCTAAGTCAGTAAGGCACTTGCTACCTAAGCCTGACAACCCAAGTTCAATCCCGAGAACCATAAAGAGAATCCATTCCACAAAGCTATCCTCTGACCTCTATGTGTACTGTGGCACTGGTGCATAATAATAATAATAAAATAATAAAATAATAATAATAAATATAATTTTTAAAACTTTTCTGTCAGAGCTACCCTGCATGGTTTATGTGTGCTGGTAGACACCAACTGACGGTAGTTAAAGAGGGAGCATCTCTCCATAGTTCACAGTCACACATATCTCGTTGCTCACACTTAGGAACATATTGCATGACAAATTTTTTGATTCCCTTGTTATAGAAGAATAACTGAAATGTGGGAGGGATTAAATAAATTGATCAGAATTATCTAGCTAGTGACAGCTGGGCTTGCACTCAATCTCAACTGTTTCTATCTACATCTAATGTTCTTTTTACAGTGTTAGAAGTCAAGAACCACTGGTTACTTTCAATTTTAGAAAGAAAAGCATACATCTGTGCAATCTGCATGGGTTTCAGAAAAGTGGATGCACATCAAGAACACTACCATTAGGGGCTGGAGAGATGGTTAAGAATACTGGTTGCTCTTGCAGAGGACACAGGTTCCAGTCTCAGCACCCACATAGTGGTTAACAGCCATCTGTAACTCCAATTTGGGGGTGGGTCCAATGCCCTCTTGAGGCCTCTGCAGAAACTGCATCCATGTAGCACACTTACACACATGTAGGCAAACCTCATACAATAAAAATGAAAATTTTTAAAAAGAACACTGCCACTAAAAAGACCAATTTCTATCCTTTGAAGCAAGTAATTCATATACACTTTGGTTAAAATAAGTCTGAATTTTGAAGATTTACTCCAAGAGACTGTTTATAAAACATTAAGGATTTCTTAAGAAAGTTTCAACATAAAATTAAACAATTTACTGGTGAAAAATTGTATCTTAACTACAACTTTTCACATATATGACTAAGACAAAAGAGCAAAAGAATCATACATAAAGCAGACTTACAATTTAAATATGAGAGACATGAATATTTCAAAAGATAATATGTAATGGAAAAAAACATTTAATTATGTTCATTTTAAAAAAAAATCAGCTAATATACCAAAACTTTAATGCTTACTATATTTCTTTGTATAAATCCAAAATATCATCATTTAACTTCAAAAGAAATAAAATATGCCAAACACTGGCCTCTAAATTCAACAGAAAGCAAAATTTCAATAGCAGTCACATTAGTATAAGGATGACTGGAGAGATGGCTCAGCAGTTAAGAGTACTTGCTGCTCTTGCAGAAGACCCAGGTTCAATTCCCAGAACCTAAATGGCAGCTAGCAACCATCCATAACTCCAGTTCCAGGGGATCTGATGCCCTCTTCTGATCTCCATGGGTACTGCACAACCCAAGTGCATTTACAAATATGCTGGATAGCTTTAATTGTCAACCTGACACACCTGGGTAGAAGGAGCCTCAATTGGTGAATTGCCTCCATTGAACTGGCCTGTGGCCATGTCTGTAAGGCATCTTCTTAATTATTGAGTGATGTGGGAGGGCCCAGCCCACTGTGGGTGGTGCAGTGGGCCTATGTTATATAAGAAAGCAGGTTGAGTACAAACCAGGTGAACAAACCAGTAAGCAGCATTCCTCCATGGGTTGTGTTTCAGCTCCTGCTGCCCTGAGTTCCTACCTTGGGCTCCCTCAGTGATGAGCTGTGACCCAGGAGATGCAAGCCATATTAAAACCTTTCTTCCCCAAGTTGGTATTGATCAGAGTGTTTTGTTACAGCAATGGAGAATCAAACTAGAACATACTTGCTGGCAATATACTCATACACATAAAATAAAAATAATAAAATATTTTAAAAATATATTAGAGGAAAAAAAACATAAAATTCTTAGAAGAAACTATAGTAGCAAATTTTCATGGCCCTGGATTTGGAAATGGATTGGCTTAGAAAATGACAGTGAAAGCACAGGTAACAAAAGTCAAAGTGGAAAACTGACTGTAGACTTCACCAAAATTTAAATCTCCTGTATATCAAAGGTCATTATCAACAGACTGAAACAGAGGGGCTAGGGAATCTCACTCAGGTAGAACATAAGATCAGCATGTATGGGGCTCTGGCTTCAATCTCTAGTTAACAAAAAAGAACTGAATAAGAAAAAAATCTACAGAATGGGAGAAATTCATGTGTACCAAATATTCCTAAAGGTTTAATATTCAGAAGATATAAAGAATTCTATAAATATGACTTAACCGCAACAAAGCCATTTAAAAACAAAGATTTCAATATACTACAATGATAATAAAAGAAAGCCACAAATGGTCAACAAGCACACCAAGGATGCTCAGCTGCATTAGTCACTGGGGAAATGTAAATCCAATCCAGAATGAGATGCTATTTCAATCCTTCTAAAACGGCTATAATAAACAAACAGGAAAGCAGTTCAGTTAAAAAAAGTAAATGTGGAATTACCACATGACTTAGCAATTCTCCCTAGGTCTATACTCAAGAGAATTGAAAGACACTCAAGCAGACAGCTACACATGTCAATCTGGAACAGTTAACTGTAATTAAAATAAATATTGTTATATAACTTCACCCATAACATGGTGACCAACCAAAACCAAAAGAGAACTTAAAGTGGAAAAATAATTGTAATGGGTATGAATTTCATGATATTAAATTTATCATGGAGGAGCGTGTCATTTTCTTCAGTGTGTAGCCACTGGTAAACTGTCCATGCCAGCAAATAACCCTTGCCTGTGCTCACACAAGTAACCCTAATTAAATTCAGTGGGGAAAAAAAGATAATTACATGACAATTAGAAATAAAGAAGTCAAGCAAGTTCACTTTCCTCGTTCCCCACCATACATAAATTCTGCACATTTTATATAGACTCCAATACAAAGTTGTTGACTAATCAAGTTATTAACACTTACTGTATGAAAATTTATCATTTCTTGAAGACTGTCAGAAAACTTGGTCAAACTTGTCTGCAAGAAAGAAACCAAAGGAAAACCAAGTCATTTAAAAGTCACTAAAATAAGTCACAAAAATACTACCCAGCATTTCTGATAGAAAGCTCATGTTATTCTGTAAACAGTAATATTACTTCCAAGGACAATCTCAATGGCTCACTCAACATGCTCTGTAGAGGTCAGGTCTATATGTGGTGACATATAAAAGCCTAGAAAAGTTAAAGAATAAGTATTCCCCTATCCATGGCATGTATAACAAAAGCAAAACCGTTGGAGCATCAATATTGTACCCCTCTAAGCATCTATGGATCAGATAATTATTGAAGTGCACCCAGTTCTTCACTATTTTTCATCAAGAAAGAAACGTCAATAACACTGCACAGTATAGCAAGGGATCCATGCTAACCAGAACAGCTGGCTAACCAGATGCTTTACAACCCCCGTGCATAGTTAGGTCCTATTCTTAGCAGGCTACCATCTGCTCACCCCATAAGTGACTACTGTGACCTGTTCCTACTCTTGCCCATTGGCAGATGCATCAGCTCCCCAACCTGCAAGCAAACTTAGTAAAGTGAACAATGAGAAGCTAGGTTAGGGCAGTGATGCTAAATATGCATACACACACACACACATACACACACACACACACACACAAATCAACCTTTAATATATAACCTCCTTTAAAAACAGAATTATGTAACACAGCACCAAGAAGTGAGAGCTTCTCCATGCTAATTTTAAGCATCACTATAACCATTAATAGGGTAAATGAATGCATAATCACTTAATGTTTTGTTATACTCATTACTTTAACTGCAATTTTAATTTTAATAATACTAACCTCAACTACAGCATCATTACTAGAATACTGTGCAAGGTCTCGAATTCCATTCATGAACTGTTTATTTGCAACACAAAAGGCTTTGCCAGTGTCGATCATCGCAATACAAAGCTTCACAAGCTGAAAAAGAAAAATGGTGAGATCAGGAGGAAAATCATTTCAAGTTCCTTAGCTGAACAAGTATTAGCAGTAACCACATGAATTACTCTATTTAAGATAAGGTAGCCGGGTGTGGTGGCACACGCCTTTAGTCCCAGCACTTGGGAGGCAGAGGCAGGCGGATCTTTTTGAGTTCAAGGCCAACCTGGTCTACATAGTGAGTTCAGGTCATCTGGGACTACAAGGAGACCCTATCTCAAAAAGACACACACACAAAAAAGATAAAGGTATATTTGAAACTACTGAAAATTCTTTTTTCCATTGGCTCACAAAGTAAATTCACAGGAGAGTTATACCAAAAAGTTGACCTTTTAGGACCCAGAAGCTAGCTAATAATAACAAAAAATATTTTTACCACATGTAATTTAAGCCCATAAAATTTTTTTAAATGCCTTCTAGATGATGTAGTTCAGCAGTAGAGCACTTGTCTTGCAAGTGCAAGACCCTGAGTTCAGTTCCAGGTACCACAAAAATAAAAAATAAAATTAGTAAAATAAAACCCCTAGGAGAAAGAGAAAGGTAAGTGCACAGCGGTGTGCTGAAAGCACTCCTGATGTGGAACTGGAGTGTTAGGAGAAAGGGCACAAACTGGTATGGGGGTTCCTCATGCTTATTTCAATATCATTCAGCAGAGCAGAAGTCTGAATTGATTAATCAACCACTACTAGAGACTACTAGAAAAAAAAATCTCTAATGCCTGTTTTAGGCATTGTGTGACACCCCACTCCCTCGCTTCTTCCCCCCTCTTCTGTTTTCATTATGAAATACAACGATTTGACATATAACTACAAAATATCCATACAATATAATAAAATTCACGGGACAGGAATTTGGGGGGTAGCTTAGCTGTAGAGGGTTACTTAGCATACAATAGGCCCTGAGTTCAATTTCTAGCACCAAAAACAAAGGCATTGGTAAGAACAGCTATATAATTAATAACATAATAATATCCAATATATTAAGAAAAATGTCAGATTTTTTAAAAGTTCTAATATTTTTTATTTGAATGGAAATAGTGATTTATACTGAAGAATGCAAACATATATATATCTCCTTTCACAAGCTTCAAACATTCTTGCAGGGACACAGGAGAAACTAGGTCAGAATGCTCCTCTAGCAAAGGAATCAGAAGATGACTTATTTTCATTGGGTATACATCTTATGCCTTTGATTTTATGCCATGTAGGTGGCATTACTTAACAAATTAAATACTTAAAATAAGGGGGGAGGGTAATAGTATAGCATGATTAAAATAGGATTTCAACTACTTAGATTCAAATGTTAATGCCATTTAAGTAAGTCTGGGTGACCTTCACCTTAACAAAGGTCCATTTCTTCATCTGTGTGACATATAACAATGGTACCAAACCATATGAGGCTTCTATAAACAAGTCCTTCACACAAATATCTCAGCAAAGCTACTATGGGAACATGACAATTATTCAGTAGAGGTTTTTTCACCTCCTTGTCAGAGAGGAGGTTTTCTTACTGATCTTTGCTTTTGTTTCACTTTATTAAGAAACAAACTTGGGTATCTTTACCCGTTTAAGATAAAGAGGTGTCAGAGAAAGGAAAGGAGAGAAATAACTAAAGCAAAATGTGGAGGAGGTAGACTATACTCTATTACAAAAAGATGCTTTTATTACCGGAACAGGGGGAAAACTGAAGAACAGATTCTAAGTTTCGAGATTATGAACAAAAAATAAACAAGGTCTGGTGGCTCCCGCCTCTAATCTCAGCTTGCAGCAGGCACAGGCAGGAGGACCAGGCCAGGTAGGATACAGAGACCCTGTCAGAAAGAAAAAAAAAAGAACTCCCATGAAGAAGAATGAAGACATGAAGAACACAGCTAGATCTTGAGAAAGCAGCAAACTACTGCAGAACTATATACTACTAGAGGGCTTAGGGGGAAAAAAGGTTTGCATCTAGAATTTCCAAAATCTGTAGCTCTACCAACTGGCTTCACTCATTAGATATAGGTGTATATACTTCTCCTGTAGACCTTCACAGTCCGGGTATGGAACAGATTACATCATTAGGCTTAAGGCAAGGGGAATTGTGCTAAGCACAGTGATACATGCCTATAACCCCAGCATTCAGAGGCTGAGGCAGGAAAATCCCTTACGCCGCAGTTCAGACCAGTCTAGACAACAAAATGAGAATGTGTCTCAAAAAAATTTTAAAATATAAACCAATTATTTTAAGTAAAAGAAAAAAAACCAGTTACAAATGGACAAAAGATTCATGATTCCATTTATATAAAATATCTGGAATAGGCAAATCCATCCAGTAGAAATCAGAGTATGATAGCAGAGGAGCACTGGGAGTAATAACAGGTAGGTTTCTTTGGGGAGTAAGGAACTATTGTGGAATTAGACCAAGGTAATACCTGTACAATGCTATGACCACTTAAAATTGAACATTTTGCCGGGCATGGTGGCACATGCCTTTAATCTCAGCAGTTCAGAGGCAGAGGCAGGTAGATCTCTGTGAGTTCAATGCCAAACTGGACTACATAGAGAGTTCCAGGCCAAATGGGGCTACAGGGAGACCCTGTGTACTGAATGTATCAGAATAGAGAATTAAGAATTTAAGAATTGTACTGAATGTATTAGAATTAAGAAACCAAGAATCAAAAACAACTCTAGTGAAAGTATGTAAACAAATCCAAAGTGTGTACATTAAAGAGTATAACTTAGTAGCCCCAGAATGTAACCTAGCAACCTGAGTGTAACTGTGTGATTAGCCAAATGATGTAAGCAACTGATAAACACGTTTGCCAAGTCATGCATAAGGACTATAAAAACCCAGAGGAAAATGAGTTCAGTGGCGCACATATGAGCTGAACTCCCATCAGCTGAGCGGCCCCATCTTCTGACTGATCCGTCTCTGGACCGTGATAGCGAGAGGAACTTCAGGTCGCGAACATCCGAACCTGATTCGACCCTCAACCACAGAACGCCTGAACTGAGCCGAGAGGACCATCAGCACGTCCAACCAAGAGGACTCCACTCGGGCATTGGCCCTAGGACTGGTATTCTCATTTGTCGCTGTGTTATATGTGTGAAACTTATTTGTGATTCCCCAAATAAATGCACTGAAAGACATTGGCTCTAGGAATATTTATCCTCCCTGGCATAATGAGGTAATGCTCAACTAAGCCTTAATAACTCCACTCGCGACACCCTGTCTCAAAAAGACCAAAAAAAGAATAATAAAAATAAAATTGTGGGTCTGGAGAGATGGCTCAGCAGTTAAGAACACTGACTGTTCTTGAAAAAGACCGAAGTTCAAATCCCAGCATACACATGGCAGCTAACAACTGTCCGTAACTCCAGTTCCTGGGGAACTGACAGCCTCTTCTGTCTTCTGTGGGCACTGCACAACATGCGTGCACTTACCTACATGCAGGCAATACACACATACACATAAAATAAAAATAATAAATAAAATAATTAAAAATAAATAAAATTAAAAATTTTATGCTGGGTGACCTTTATCTTAAAAAAGAATAATTATACACAAACTCCCCCAAAAAACAACAGTACAGTGGAAAATATTTAAATGATCTAAAATTTCACGAATAAACAGGTTAAAAGACCAGAGGTCCAGGTAATCTGAACAGCAGAGGCAGTGAGGCAGAGAGCTAGAAGGACTGGAGGCGCAGGTTAGAAAGCTGGGCATCAGCGTTCCAAAATTCAGGGATTATACGTCCAAGTGATGAAGCAGAGACCATGGCCACAGAAACAGGCAATGGAATTAGCATCCAGGTCACCATCACAAGAAGACCAGAGAGAAAGCAAGGTGATGAGTAGAGCCACACACACTGCAGCTACCCACGAGGAAGGTGGGGATGCAGGGACAGATGGAGACTTTGCCTATTAAATGGTAGTGATGAAAAAGATCATAACTAGCCAGCCATGGTGGCACACACCTTTAATCCCAGAACTCGGGAAGCAGAGGCAGGCAGATCTCTGTGAATTCAAGGCCAGCCTGGTCTACATAGAGAGTTCCAGGCCAACTGGAGCTGCAGGGAGACCCTGTCTCAAAAAAAAACAGAAAGAAAAAGAGAAAGATCAAGAATAATAAAAAGTTCCAAGGAGAGTTTTTCCCCCAAGCATAAATATCAGACTGATGAAAAAAAAAAAAAATGCCAGACTCGTAGTCTAATTCATTCATTCAATAATTTTTTCACTAAGGCGTTCTTATGTCACCAGCATTTGCCAGTTGATAGGAATACCAACAACTGATCTGCTTACCAACTTGAGTAAGTAACATCCTCTCTAAATCTCATTTTTCCATGTTTAACTGAAAGTGATACCAACTCTGCAGCAATCCGGTGAAGATTAGAGATAAGCAAACACAGAGCCAGTGTGTGCTGGATAGCTTTAGTGTCAACTTGACACCTGGGTTGAGGGAGCCTCAACTGGGGACTTGCCTCTATTGGACTGGCCTGTGGCCATCTCTGAGGGGCATCTTCTTGATGAGTGATGTGGGAAGGCCCAGCCCACTGTGGGTGGTGCCACCCCTGGGCAGGTGGGCCTGTGTTGCATAAGAAAGCAGACTGAGCAGGGGCCAGAGGAGCAAGCCAGTAAGCTCCTGTGCTCCAGCTCCTGCCTCCAGGTTCCTGTCCTGAGTTCCTACCTTGGGATCCCTGATGAACTGCAACCTGGGAGATGTAAGATAAAGAAACCCTTTCCTCCCCAAGTTGGTATTGGACAGAGTATTTTGTCACAGCAATGAAGAAACAAACTAGGACAGAAATTGGTACCAGAGAGTGGGATATTGCTATGACAGCCTGACCTTGGTGTTTTGGGGAGGACTGTGGAAGTGTTTGGAACTTTGGGCTGGAAAAGCCATTGCATACTCAGAGTTTGTTGCTGTAGAGCATTGGAACAGTTATGCTGAAAGAGTTGTAGATGATGGAGGCCTGGCTTGTGAAGCTTCAGAGGGAAGCAGAGACTATCAGGGCTGTTCATGTGAGATTTTGGATTGAGAATCTGTGGATTCTGGTCAGCTAGGGCTGAAGAATTAACTGTGATTAAGAAGAGAGCGGAACCTGAAGCAAAACCTTTGCTTTACTGGGACATCTGATGCTGGTTAGCTGGGGCTGAAAAATCAGCTGTAAGTAACAAGAGACCATCATCACTGTGGTGGAGTCTTCTGGGAGGTATTTCCTCAGGGTCAAAACACAGAGGGGACCCGCACCTCTATTTCAAGCTGGAAGCAGGACTTGCTAATGTGTAAGAGTCTCCTGCATGGCTCTGGTGTTGAAAGCGTGAAGGGGTCACAGAGAGCAGCTGAGGCTTGGCGCTCTGAGAGGCCAGGAAAGGCCATAGGTGAAAGTGCAGCTTCACTTGCAGCAAAGACCCCAGAACTGAAGGGGTCATGGAGAGAATCTGAGGCTTTGTACCCCAAGAGGCAAGAAGAGGCCATTGGTGAAGATGTAGCCTCAGTTTCAGTGGCGACCCCAGCTTTTTGGAGATGCCGGGACCATGGGATGACCACCAAGAACAGCGGCAGGTGAGGAATGGAGCTGGCCTGGATCTGCGAGACAAGCTGAGTGTTCTGTGGACTTCAAAGTCAGAGCAGTGGAGCTACCAGCACCCTCTAGAGCTCAGAGGATCGAGAATGAATCCCAGATGTCCAGCCTCGAGTTACTTTGCTGGACTTAGGTTTTGCTTAGGTGTGCCCAATTCTTCCCTTTGAAATAAGACAGTACATGTTTTGGATTTTATAGAAGCCCACCCACAGTTAAGAGACTATTAAGAGACTATGGACTTTTAAGTGTTTGGATTTTTTAAGGACTGGGAGTTTTTAAGGTTGTACTGTCTTATGTTGTGATATTAATGTTAACATCATGTCTTGGGGACAAAACTTGGGAAGTTTATGGTTTAATAGTGATGTTTGTATGTCAAGTTGACAAGGGGTCAATTGTGCTGGATAGCTTTATTGTCAACTTGACACACCTGGGTTGAGGGAGCCTCAATTGGGGAATTGCCTCTATGGGATTGGCCTGTGGCCATGTCTGTGGGGCATCTTCTTGATGAGTGATGTGGGAGGGCCCAGCCCACTGTGGGTGGTGCCACCCCTGGGCAGGTGGGCCTGTGTGGCATAAGAAAGCAGACTGAGCAGGGGCCAGAGGAGCTAGCCAGTAAGCGGTGTTCCTCCTTGGCCTGTGCTCCAGTTCCTGCTTCCAAGTTCCTGCCCTGAGTTCCTACCTTGGGATCCCTGATGAACTGCAACCTGGGAGTTGTAAGCTAAATAAACCCTTTCCTCTCCAAGTTGGTAATGGTCAGAGTGTTTTGTCATCTCAATGAAGAACAAACTAGGACATTTTTTTTGTGAGGTTTTGTTTTTCTTTTAAAGATAGTGTTTGTTTCCAAGGAACTGAACGCCTGTTGAAGAGACATCGTCATCATTTATTATTATTTATTTAGAATTCACCATATACCAAGCATCATGTTAAGCACCTTCCATACGTTATAGTAGCTCCCTTTATTCTTATAATAAACCTATGTGAAGCAGATAGATACTCTTATTTTCCCCAGTTTGAAAATGAAGAAACAGAGATCCAGAAATGCTGAGGGGTTTGCCCAAGACCATATGGCTAGTAAGTGACAGAGCCTCCTGCAAACCTAGGTGGCACCAACATTGTGCTCTTAAACATGAGGCTCTGCTGTAAAACAAAATTATAATATTGTATTAGTTTAAGAGAATACACATTCTCAAAAAAACAATGCAATTCAAGAAAAAGGCCAAAAGTTGGGAAGCAACTGAGATTTAAAAGGGATCTACTTCACAAACAGGCACCAAGATAGACCAATGAAAAGATGCAATGCATACAGACAGCACACCTGGATGCAACTACGATATGCCATGGTGTCACAGATGCCAACACCTTGCAGACTGGAAGACTGGACCCAATGAACAATGCCACTCAGGAAGCATTATTCACAGGAAAGACTGCAACTACTGGTAGCATATAATATATGCAAAATAAATGGGAAATAAGTCATGAAGCAAGTTTAGCTTGTCACTAGCATGATTTACAATGATACCAGAGGTAGAACTTGCCCCTGTACAATGTTACAAAATCAGTAGACTAGTCTCAAGACAACCACCCCCATTAGTCAATCTTCAAGAACCACCTTTCCTCCCTCCTGTTCCTCGGGCTTTCTTTTCTATACCAACTCCCCCATAGTTCTGAAGTAAACACAGTAGATAATAGTTTGAGAATTTGGGACAGGTACATTTATTTTGTAAGGGATCAAGCTCTTAAGCCAGAAAATATAAAATATAACTGTAGATCTTTAAGAAGGGAAAGAAAAAAAATGGTATTTTTTAATGCTGCCCAGTTTTCCCTACACCCTGAGTACCCTTTGAAGACGCTTTTGGCTTGTGATATACTGAACTGAAATCAGTGCTGCTCCAAATAAGATCCCCAGGTGATTCTTATGGACCATAAGTATGAGAAAGCTGCTTTCTACAGCAATGCCAGTTGTAATAATAATTGTACAATAGGGAATTATTTAAGTAGACATATGCCATATTTCTAGAAATTTGGAGACCTCACCAAATAACAGTTATAGAAGACTGTCTGAACAAATGGGTCAGAGCCACGTCTTCTGCTAATATTTCTGCCTGTCACAGAGCAGACAATGCTTCGTGAACATACATCCAACGAATATTATAGCGATTAATGGAGAAGTAGGAAACAATGGACATTTACTCCACATGAAGTATAACTGTGTGATTATTACGTATTTTAAGCATCTCTGGAGTTAGCTTAAAAATGGAATGATGGGGCTGGAGAGATGGCTCAGTGGTTAAGAATACTGACTGTTCTTGAAGAAGACCCAGGTTTGAATCCCAGCACCCACATGGCAGCTAACAACTGTCCATAACTTGAGTTCCAGGGGATTCGACAGCATCTTCTGTCCTCCACAGGCACTGCATGACATGGGTGCACTTACCTACACGCAGGCATAACACTCATACACATAAAATAAAAAAAATAATAAATATTTGAAAAAAATGGAATGAACATTTTACATTTGAGCTCAGCCACACCTAAAGCTACAATAAGGATCACCAGGTTATATATAAAATCCATTAAGTATAAAAAATGATAAATGCAATCTTTGGAATGAGAAGACATAAACAAATTTCCAACAATATAAAGGATGTTGGATGAGCTTTTGAAGTCAGTTCTAGAACTTAAGTGTTTGAACAAGTAAGCTATTTAATGTCTCCAGCCTTAATTTTTTCATGTGTCAAATTAGGATTACTGCACCTACTCTCACAGAGATACAATGTAAAATCAACCAACTACTATTATAGACACTAACTTATCTATGGAAAGAATTGTTTCTAAAAATTAAAAAGGTAAAATTTACCTTATCAAGTTTTAGTTCCAACTCTGCCACATCTCCTTCTACTTCTTCCAAAGCAGCCCTAAAAGAAATTAAAGTAAGTTATCTCATTTGTTTAAATGTATACTTTAGTCTTGAAAAAGAACCTTTCACTCTAAGACATAGATATGAATGGTTAAAAATTATCCTTTATATGAATATTTCAGAATCATGTAATATAGCAGACAGCTCAATTATTATTTAAAAGAATACATTAGGACATTAGGCTGACTTACTAAAAGCACTAATAATATTCAAATTAGTTAACGGTGCTTAAAACTATTTTGCATGTCCTTAAAAATGAGTAAGAGTTTGTTTGGAGGTTCTAGCAGGGGAGCGCAGCTACTTGTATACCCTGGACTGAAGTCAACGACAGAGCGTACAGCTTCGGGAAGGACGCATGTGGAGTGTTGAGAGAGGAAGGGAACACCCGCCTAGCCAGCCAGATCAGCTGAATCAACCCTGGGGATCAATGGGTGACAGATGTTGCAGCCAGATCGCTCTCACATCCAACCTGGTCTACACAGTGAGTTCCAGGCCAGCTGGGACTACAGGGAGACCCTGTCTCAAAAAGACCGGAAAAAAAAAAAAAAAAAAAAAGAGTAAGAGTTTATAAGCAAATACTAGAAAATATAGAAAAGACACTAATAGAATAAAATCACCCAAATCCTACTTCCAAAAAACAAATGAATAAGAAATTTTAGGTTAAGCTGTACACAGGTTCCAGTTTGCTGACAGCAAAGCAAACGAAGTCCAATAACAAGGCACTGACAACCAAAGAGGCTTTTACTGTTAGAAAGAACTCAGAATTGTTAGAAATAACTCCTCTTAATATAATTTTAATATAGAAAATTAGCAAAGGCTATATTGTGTAAAAAGAAGAAAGTAATAGACACTCTTATTGACAGAAGAGAAGGCAACTGATCACTACAAGGCAACACTCCAAAACTGGAAATTTTCTGAAACAGAATAGCAGCAATTAAAAAGTTTTTAAGGATAAGATTTTATGCTAAAGGCAATGTATAACAAAATGAAATTCATTCACCTTAAGTTACACACACCTGGTATGTGTGCTGGCAGTTGAACCCAGGACCTCAGGCATGCCAGGCAAGCACTTTTGCACTAAATATATTTATTCTAATTTTCAGGGACTTTATTTACATTCTAACCTTTATCTTAATTCCATCTTCAAACAAATTAGTATTAGTTAAAATGAACAACTTTAGATTTGACTGAATTATTTGTCTCTATTCAACATATACTTGAGTCTGATAAAAGTTTACATTTTATTCAATTTTCTTCTACTGTACAATTCTACAAATTTACTTTGGGGAAACACTTTTAAAGAAAGGTCTAATTAGGTGCTAGGGATATGGTTTGGTGGATAAAGCACTTGCCACAGAAGCATGGGGACCTGAGTTCAAATACCCAGAACACACATGATGCCAGACACTGTAGCACATGTCTGTAATCCAAGCATTCCTAGGAGGAGATTCCTAGGGAGAAACCCCAGAAGCTCATGGGCTGGCTAGTCTGGTGTACGCTATGGTGAACAACAAGAGATCCTACTTCAAACAAGGTGGAAGGCGAGGACCAGCCCAAGGTCCTGAACAGGACCATGTGAACACCATGGCATGCTCCTACCTGCACCCACACACACGAGTGCACACACATACATAAAGATATTTTTAAGAACAAAGTGTAAGTTAATGAACAAGAGAGAATATGTCTTGTCACTTCTCATTTAAAAACACAGCTCTCTCGAATCATATACTGAAAGAATCTAAAAGTTATCTTGGAGGTCCTTCAACTCAACATTCTGCCCCCTCTTTGGGGGAACTCTTATCTAATCCTAGGGTTACCTTTTCAGAGAGGGGAATGTTAGAGCAGCAAAAAGCCGAGAAAAGAAAGAGAGAGAGAGAGAGAGAGAGAGAGAGAGAGAGAGAGAGAATGAAATTATCAGAAAAAAGTGACGGGGAGATATGGGAGGTGTTGGAGGGGAGGGAGTGGGCATGGATTTGATCAAAACACCTTATATGCATGTATGAAATTCTCAATAAAGTTTTTTAAAAAGAAAAAAAAATCTGCAGCATTGATCACCCAGCTTTATGAAAACTTGTAGCAACAGCTAGTGTCCAAGATACCCATCCATTGGTTTCTTAGTATAAAAAGCAAAGCTATGGGAAAAGCATGGTCACACTTCAAGCTGTACTCCAACCCTCCCTTATCTGAATGAGAGATGGTCATGTCAACCACAATGTGACACAATGCCAGCAATCTTCCTTGCCTTTATCTCACTCTGTCCTCCCAGGTGAGTTCTGATTCCCTTCGACTTCTATTCTTTAATGTGATCAAATCACTCTGGATCATACACCTAATAAAATAATGACTCTATACAACATTCACTCAAATGCTAGATGACAGATACGGTTCCTCTGCAACTCCCCCAGTATCACTAAGTAGAAAACTTCTATAACATGCAAGGCATTAAAGAGGCCAAAATTACAGACCCCTTCCTTCCATTGTTTAAAATTTATTAATTTTTTTAAATCAAGGGGGTTGTAGGGATGGCTTGGTTAGTAAAGCAATTACCTTACGAGTATAAAAGACCCAAGTTTGATCCCTACAACCCACATAAAAATGCCAAGAGTGATGGCACGTGCTCGCAATCCCAGTGCTAGGGAGGTGGAGACAGGCAGATCTCTGGGGTTCACTGTCCAGCCAGTCTTGCCTTGATGAGCTTCAGGCCACTGACAGACCCTGTCAAGAGGTAGATGGTGTTCTTGAAGATGATAGCTGACGTTGTCCTCCAGCCTCCACACATACATTAACACGCACACATCTGAACATGGCCCCTCACACATGAACACACACACACACACACACACACACACACACATTAAACAAAGCAAACTGGGTCTGTAGCTCCATAGTAGAGGTTTGTTTGCCTAGCAAGTGCAAGCAAGGACCCTGAGTTCCACTCCCAACACAGATTTAAAAAAAAAATAGTAAATACATTTTTTTTAAGTTACCCATGGGGCTAGAAAGATGGCTCAGGGGTTAAGAGCATCGGCTGCTCTTGCAGGGGACTGGCGTTTGAGTCCCAGCACTCACACAGTGGCTAACAATCATCTTTAACTCCAGTTCCAGGGGAATTCAAGGCCCTCTTCTGATTTCCATGGGCACTGCACAATATAGGTGCATTTACACATATGCAGGCAATACTTTCATACACATAAACTAAAAAATAATAATGGAATATTTTTTAAAGTTACCCACACTAACAATGAAAGAAAACAAATGACTAAGCTGAAAAATAAGCAAAAGTAAGTAATGTGGACTAACGGTGGTTCCCTCTCTGTCTCTCTCCCTCTCCCTCCCCCTCACCTCAGGCTGGTTTCCACTTGGTTAGATTTGGGGGGGGATTATGTGTGGGAGGTATTGAACTAAGGGCTTGTGCATGCTAACCAAGCATTTTACCACTGAGCTTCATTCCCAGCCTCACAGATGTTAAAAGAAAAAGAAAGGAAAGGTAAAAAGCAAAAATCACAAAAGTCAGCCAACTACACAGTCCACGGTATTGTCCACAGCCTCCTCTGTAACAGCCCATGAGATAAACATGGTCTTTATACTTTAATTACATTTAATGTGTGTGTGTATGTGTGTGTGTGTCCATGCACTTGTGTGTGCCATGGTGCACGTGTGAAACCAAAAGGACAAAGTGAACCAGTCAGCATTCTCCTCCTACCATGTGGGTTCCAGGGATCCAACCCCAGTCATCAGGTTTAGTGGCAAGTCCTTTAATCCACTGAGCCATCTCACTAGCCTAATTTTCACATTTTTAAGTGATGGGGGGAATAGAAAAATATTTTGTGACACGTAAAAATTATGTTCACACTTCAACGTCTGTAAATAAAGCTTCATGGAAGCACAAGCAGCTTATTTATTTTCACACTGTAGTTTAAGAGAAAATATTAAAGGCTTAAATACTTACTACTATTTGACCACTTACAGAAAGTTTCTAACCCCAATGAATATCAAGTACAACATAATGAATGAAAATTTTCTCATATATGACATGTGTACAAGAAAATGTTTTTCTCCCGTGGGCTGAAGCTGTGGTCCCTTCTTGTGAGCCAGAGTTGTGATTCCCTTGTGTGAGCTGGAGTTGTGGTCCCCTCCTGTCAACCTGGAGCCATGTGGTTCCCCTCACATGAGCCAGAGTTGTAGTCCCCTCTTGTGAAATAGAGTTGTGGTCCCCCTCCTTCAGTTGGAACTGTAGGTGAACCCAGAGCTTAGGTACCCCACCCCCGCCGCCGTGAGCTAGAATTGTGGTCCCCTCCTATGAGCTGGAGCTATGGTCTTCTGTAAACCTGGAATTATGGTCCCCTCTTGCAAGCTAGAGATGTGGTTAACCTCTGTGAACAGTAGCTGTGGTCCCCTCTTGTGAGCTGGAGTTGTGGTCTCCTCCAGGGAACCTGAGACTGTGGCCCCACCCTGGAAGTTGGAGTAGTGCCCTCAGCTCCTGTGAGCCAGATTTGTGGTTTCCTCCTGTGAGCCTCAGCAGTGGTTCCAACCTATAAGCTAGAGTTCTGGTCCTCTCCTATGAGAGAGCTGTGGTCCCCTCACATGAGTCTGAAGCTTTGGACCCCTACCATGACCCACATTCCTCTTGTGGTAGACAGATGGTGGAACAGAGTGGAGCATGGAGGAATTCTTGGTGTTGGGCAGCAGTTTCAGTCTTCTCTGAGTGACTACATTTCCCACAGCCTTATCCCCCGAGGTCCCAGGTTGTGCATGGCAGAGGCTTTGCCTCTTATGCTGGGGACAGGGGAGGCCTCTGTTATTCGCAGATTCTGATCTTGGGAGGACTAATTCTCTGAATCTAACCTCTCACCTCCCACTGAGGTCTAGCTCTGATCCTCAGTCTATACGTGGTCTGGGGTATCCAGGCCTTGATGTTAGACCTCTCCCATCACCAGGCACCAAGATGCTTTCCATTATTTTTCTATTGGTCTTCTATAGCCCCAGTATGCCTTCACC